CCCGCCCTGCCCCCGCCAACCCGTCCACTCCAGGGACATCCTGCAGACGCCTACCCCCTGGCATGGGCTCCTCTCTGGCTGCTGAGCCATTTTGCTTCCTTTGTGAGGACAGAGGGAAAAAATGTGTTTTCCCGGGGCCTTGGCAGCCAGCTCTGGTGGAGCCTCCTCCCTGCTGGAAAGGGGAGCAAAGCTGGGAGAACCTAGCACCTCAGGGAAGCAGGAGCCCGGGGATCCAGTTCCAGTTCTGCCACCCACTCACACTCACTGGGACTTCAGGTATGCCGTTCCCTCTCTCTGGGCCTCAGTTTCCCAACATGCCAAACCTCCACCAAGCCTAAGGTACCTTCTAGCCTGATAATCTTACAGGTTCAAGTGTCAGATTCTGGCCTGGAATGGAGCTCCAGGACCCCTAGCAGAGTGGAGGTCCTAGAGGAAGAGAAAGGAAATCAGTGAAGGCTTCCTGGAGGCAGAGGCATGAGAACACAAACTCAAAGACTATCAGCTTTGACCATCCCTCTGCTCAATCTGCACAGCCAGAGACCACTTCCTCTTTCAGCTGAACCATGACCATATCCACCTCCTCACTGGCTTCTAGTCTTGCCTCTGCCCCACCATTTCTCTGCCCCCAAGAGCTGTCAGAAGGATCATTACTGACACAAACCGACAAACCTATGTTTGACTCATTTCAAAACGCTGGGATGCCAGCCTCCCCTCCAGCCCACAAAGTGGGGCCTTCAAGCCTCCACCATGTTCTTTTCCTCTGTCTCCCGGGATCCTCTTGGACCCAGTGCTCATTCAGTCATTCCTTCAGTCAGCCAACACCAAGGAGCACCTATTCTGTGCCAGGCTCTGAAGGCCCTGAAGGGCCAATGATGAATCACAACTCCTGTCCTCAGGGCTCCACAATCATCGCTCACTCCATCTGCCAACCAGGGTCACTGGTCACCTCCTCAAGGAAACCTTCCTTGATTGCCCTGGGTAAGTTGGAGCCTTGGTAATGACACACTTTAGAGATGTTGTGGGTCTGGTTTCAGACCACCGCAATAAAGCAAAAATTGCAATTAACCAGGTCACAGGAATTTTTTGGTTTCCTCGTGCATATAAAAGTTATGTTGCCCTGGCCAGTTTGTCTCAGTGGTTAGAGTGTCAGCCCGTGGACCTAAGGGTTGTGGGGTAAATTCCCGGTCAAGGGCACATACCTGGGTTGCAGGTTTGATCCCTGGCCCTGATCGGGGTCATGCAGGAGGCAAACAATCGATATGCCTCTCTCACATCGATGTTTCTCTCTGTCTCCCTCCCTCCCTTCCACTCTATAAAATCAATGGAAAAATATCCTTGGATGAGGATTAACAACAACAACAGCCCTGCTGGTGTGGCTCAGTGGTTGAGCATCAACTGATGCACCAAGACGTCACCGGTTTGATTCCTGGTCAGGACACATGCCCTGGTGGTGGGCCTGATCCCCAGTGGGGGGCATGCAGGAGGCGGCCAATCAATGTTCTCTCTCATCGATGTGTCTATCTCTCTCTCCCTCTCCCTTCCTCTCTCTCTAAAATCAATAAAGAAAAAAATTTTTTAATCAATAAAGAAAAATTATCTATTAAAAACAACAACAAAAAGTTATGTTTAGCCCTGGCCGGTTTGACTTAGCACTTATAGAGTGTCAGCCCGCAGACCAAAGAGTCGCGGGTTCAATTCCAGTCAAGGGTACATACCTCGGTTGCAGTTTGTCTCCAGCCCTGGTCGGGTCTTGTGAGAGGCAACCAGTCGATGTGGCTCTATCACATTGATGTTTCTCTCTGTCTTTCCCTCCCACTCTGCCTGATAATAAGTAGAAAAATATCCTCAGGTGAAGAACACCAACAAAAAAAAGTTATGTTTACACTATATTGTAGTCTATTTTTTTTAAATCCTCACCTGAGGATATTTGGTATTTTTCCATTGATTTTCAGACAGAGTAGGAGGAAAGGAGGGAGAGAGAGAGAAACATTGATGATGTGAGAGAGACATGTCGATTGGTTGCCTCCTGTACGACCCTAACCAGGGCCAGGGATTGAACCACAACCCAGGTACGTGCCCTTGACCGGAACTGAACCTGAGACTCTCTGGTCCGCAGGCTGATGCTCTAATTGCTGAGCCAAACCAGCTAGGGCAAATACTGTAGTCTATTAAGCGTGCAGTAGTGCCCTGGCCAGTGTTGCTCAATGGTTTGAGTTTCAGCTCTCTCATCAAAGGGCCACGGTTCGATTCCTGGTGAAGGGCATATACCTGGGTTACCAGTTTGATTCCCGGCCCTGGTAGGAGTGCATGTGGGAAGCAACCAATTGATCTCTCACATAGATGTTTCTCTTCTCTCTCTCTCTCTTTTCCCCCTCCTCCCTCCCTTGTACTCTCTCTAAAAATCAACAGAAAGCCCTAACTGGTTTGGCTCATCAGTTAGAGCGTTGGTCCTGGAACCAAAGAGTTGCAGGTTCGATTTCCAGTCAAGGGCAGGTATGTTGATTGTGGGTTCAATTCCCGGCCCTGGTCAGGGTTGTGCAGGAAGCAATCAATTAATCTGTCTCTCTTACATTGATGTTTCTCCCTCCCTCCCACTCTATCTAAAAAAAAACAACAACAAAACAATGGAAAAATATCTTCAAATATCCTCAGGCGAGGATTTGAAAAAAAAATCAATGGAAAAAATATTCTTGGGTAAGGTTTAACAAAAACAAGTGTGCAACAGCATTATGTCTAAAAATGTACATACTTAATTAAAAAATAGTTTGTTGCTAAAAAATGCTAACCGTCATCTGAGCCTGTTGGGAAAATGGCACTGATAGACTTGCTTGACATAGTATTGCCACAAACATTCAATTTGTAAAAAACAGTTATCTGCAAAGTGCAATAAAACAAGGTATGCCTGTGCTATATACTTGCAAACCCTCATGCCACCCAGCTCCGCTGTGGTTTTGTATTTAGTTTGGTGGCTCTTTCTTTAACTTTGTCTTCTCTTATCAACCATAAGCTCCCAGAGGGCAGATTCTGGATCTGGCTTGGTCATGGTCTCATCCCCAGCATCTGGCCCATGACAGGCTCCATGCCAATGTGGGCTAAAAGCATCAGGACTGAGGGAGGCACAGGGGCTAAGGGAGCCTATGTGGGGTCCCAAGCCCTGTTGAAGACCCAGGGATGATCCACTGGAAGGTTAAACCTTTCAGTGCTAGCTTTGCACCAGTGACAGAGCCAGCCCGCCCCTTCTCCTCATCTCCTGGCCCCCAACCCTACCCAGGGATGTTTCCTGCCCAGCTTTGAGGATAGGCCTGACTAGGAACCCCACACATTCCTGGACATCCCAGACCTTGGCCTGGGGCTTTTGGCTTTGCTTTCTCTCTCACAGTTCCCCTGGAAAATGGGCTATGTGCAGAGGCTGCCATCCCTCCCCCCACTGTACCCCCATCCTGCCACCTGGATGTTGCCTAGTTCCTGCTGTAGATGGGAACACTGAGGTTCCCCACTGTGCTAGCAGAGCTCACCAGGGTCACAGATTCAAAGTCAAAAAATCATCCAGTTCCTCATCCCAGCAAGCTCCTTGACCACCCCCATGATTCTGTAGCCCCTTGGGTGGGAAGAGGGGAGTGCAGAGCAGGACCAAGGAATCCCTAGACCCTGGCCCATCCCCCAGGCTGCAGGGCTAATAAAAGGGGTTAGGGCTAGGTTGAGCCCCCACCCGTTACACCCCTTAATACCCTTCATGCACCGAGACCACCTGTTCCACTAGCTGTAGACCATGCCTCCCCTGGGTGAGGACTTAGGGAACTCTGGCTGGCCCAGGCCCTCAACTAGCTCCTCAGGTCTAGCCATCAACAGGTATGTCTGACTAGTCCCACATGTAACTGAAACCACCAGGAGGACAGAAACCAACTCCACCCCATTCTCTCTCTCACCCTCCCAGACCCAGCAGGCACAAGGTCCAGAACCCAGAGTAGCTACCAAATAGAGGAAGTCTGCGATTCTTTCTACCTCTCCACTTTGCTGTGGGTGTTCGGCCCTTCCACTTCCTCCTGAGTGAAGGGATGGCTAGGGATGAAGGAGAGTCTGAGGGTCCACCTTCCCCAAGTAGCAGGAAAACCTGGGGACAAGGACTTGAGTGGTGCCAGCCCACCAGGGTGCTACAGGGAGGCCTGGCTCCTTCACCTCACCCCCAACCCCGCCGGGTGGGATCTTTAGTGCTTTGCCCCACCCTGTGGCTGCAGCCGCTGGCTCAGGGCGGGGGACAAACACCGATGTCACATGACCCTGGCCCTGGGAAACTCCGGGGAAGAGCAGGGGCGGGCCATCGCCGGCTTGTGGAAAGGGGACAGCCAGGGTGAGAATTCCCAGACCCCTTGTGACCACGAATGGGGCCGCTTCCCTAGCTCAGGTCCCTATTCCGCGTTTACTCATTGGGCACACTCTTTCCAAGGTACACACCGCTGGTACGCAGGCCCCAGGGTCCTCGCCCGCCTGGGAGCTCGAGGGCGGTCTCTCTCCGTGTGCCTGTGTCTGTCTCCACGGAACACTGTGCGCGCACGCAGCAGGCAGCATACTCTGGTCACGGGCCAGGGAACACACACTCACACGCCCGCCCGCCTTGGACGTAAACAAACCGCGCACGCCCGGCTCGCGGGCACCGGTCCAGGGAATGTTCTCACCGAGTCACGTACGTGCACACACCGCCCCGGCTCCTCCTGGGTGGACGCTGACGCTCGCCAGCCCGCCATGCCCCTTCCTGCCGGTTTTCCCTGCCTCCCGGCCGGCGCCCCCAGAAGAAGCCCATCACCCTAGCACCCTGCCGAGCTTGCTTCGGCCCTCGTTCTGTCCCTGGACCTCTACCCCTCCCCCCCTCCGAGCGATGGGTACACCGGGGCACCGACGGAGCCGGCCCCGGCGCCCCGCCCCAGACACCTTCCCGGGGCGCGGAGACCCTGCTTCCTCGGGGCCCCACGCCCCGGTTCCCGTCCCGGACCCGCGATCCTCACCCCGCCTCTCGGCCCGCTTCGCCTGGCGCCCCTGGCACGCGCGGGTCCCGCTGCCGTCCGGGCTGCTGTCCCAGCCCGCGCCCCGGTCCGTCTCCCCTCCGGTCCCGACAGCCGGTTGCTCCGAGCTCGGTTCCCGAGAGCGACGCGCCGAGTTTTGTTGTGGGGCGGGCGGCGCAGGGGGCCGCGCAAAGTTGTAAGGCGAGCTTCCCGGAATTACTCACTCACAGGATTCCTTTCATTCATAAAAACCCAGTCATACGGTGACGTCACCTCCCCGGCCGCCCCCCTGGGCCCCCAGAGTGGCCTCTGCGTTCCGCAGCCCCGCCCCCGCCCCGCCCCCGCCCCGCCCCGCGTAGGCCCCGCCCACACCCAGGGCCCGCCTCGGGGGTTCTCAGTCTCTATTAGGCTGGCTGTGTTCACGTGACACCTCGCGAGAGCAGCTTGGGTGAAGGTGTCATTTGGCTCATTTTACAGCCGACAGTCCTGCGCTTCTTCTTTCAACCTACACCTTATGCCACGATGATCTCATCCAGTCCCGTGATTTAAAATGCCGTCTATATGCCCATGAGCTCAAACTCTGTATTTCTAGAGTGAAACAGCTTCTCTGAGTTCCAGACTCGTATCCAGGTGCCCACTGCTTGCCTCCCCGTGGGTGCCAGATGAGGACTGCAAACACTACACAGCCAAAATCCACCTCCTGATAGTCAGCCCTACCCCAGCGCCCCACACCCCAGTCTCCCCTATCTCAGTTGTTCAATCCCAATCCTAGGAGCTTGCTCCATCCCTCTTCCTTCCTTCCTCCCTACATCATAAATCGCTTGGCTCTACCTCCAACACCATTCTGCATCTGACAAATTCCCCCCACCCCCAATCCTATCACATGGTCCAGGCACCATCAACTTAACCTAGACAATGGCAGCAGCCTCCTGATAGCCTCCCCACTTTGTTCCTAAGGGTTTTCTTCACACACCAGACAAAAGTTTCTCTCAAAGCAAATTTCAGATTGTTACATACACTCCCACCCTCTCTAGCCTTCCTGTGCATTTAGAATATAAACTATTCTCCTCCCTTTAGCCTACAGGGCCCGAAGCCATCCAGCCTCTTGCCACCTCTCCTGTCCCTCTGCCCTGACCCCACTACTCCTCAGCCACACTGCCTGTCTTACTGCTCCTCAAACACACCAAGCTCATTCCTGCTACAGGTCCTTTGCACTTGCTGTTTCCTCTTCTGTTCACTGACTGCTCTTTCTTATCTTCAGGTCAGCTCAGATGTCACTGTCTCACAGAGAATTTTCCTGACCTCCCTGGCTAAAGGACCCCACCTGTAAAATTTGTTGTTGTTGTTGTTGTTGTTTTATCCTCACCTGAGAACATTTTTGAATTTATCTTCAGACAGAGCAGGAGGGAGAAAGGGAGGGAGGAAGAGAGAGAAACATCGATGTGAGAGAGACACATCGAGTGGTCACCACTGACACGACCTCAGCCGGGGCCAGGGACAAACTGCAACTGAGGTACATGGCCTTAGCGGAAACCGAACCTGGGACTCTCTGGTCCACAGGCCGACACTCTAACTGCTGAGCCAAACCGGCCAGGGCTAAAATTTGTTTTTATATAACTCTCCTCCTCCTCTTCCTCCTCCTCTTCCTTCTCCCTCCCCTCCCTCCTCTTCCTCCTGCTCCTTCTTCTTCCTCACCCAAGGACATGCTTAGAGAGAGGAAGGGGGAGAGAGAGAGAGAGAGGAACATCAATGTGAAAGAGAAATATAGATCAGTTGCCTTCCATACATGCCACAACCCAGGTATGTGCCCTGACCATCAAACCAGCAACCTTTCAGTGGACAGGACTATGTTCAACCAACAGAGCCACCCTGGCCAGGCTTTATATAAACTTAATAACTCCATAGGGTATTATTTTGTGTACATGTTTGCCTACTGTGTAGTGTCTGTCTTCCCCAACCAGATGTAAGTTTCATGAGGGTAGAGCCTTGTCTATCTTGTTCACCACTGCATGCCCTGTGCCTAGCACAGAGCTTAACACCGAGTAAGCCCTCCGTTAAGGAAATCAATGAGCAGAGGCTCAGAGAGGTAAATGACTTGCTAAAGTCACACAGGTAGAAAGTACAAGAACTGGACTTTGAGTCCAGGTCTGATTGATTCCTGGTCCAGATGTTTGGGGTTATGCCCAACTGTGTGGGGCCCAGAATAAATTGAGAGCTGTGTTCAGTGCCTGGAGCCCTACCTGGAAGAGTCAGCTTTGGGGACCAAATGGGAGAGTATTGCTGTTTAATCTTCTTTTTCTTTGCTGTTCGCATTGCCCGAAGTGCTTCCTGTCACTCCAAGAGCCATCTCTTCTGTGTAGCTGACATCAGAGCTGACATCTTATTTTACTGCCCAGGACACAGGACCCCCTCAATAAGAGGTCTTTGTATGGAGCCCTGGTCACCAGCCAGTCTTTCCCTTCCCTTGATATAATGTAATTTGATTTCAGAGCCCTTGTAATGCTTTCCTGCCTCTGAGTCTTGGTCCACCTGAGATTGTGACATCTATCCCTTACTTCCCAAAGGCCTTGGGTTTCAAAAACAAATTGGCCCACAAGTTCCCCAAGTGATCAAATGGTGAGGCAGCTTAATCTGGCACTCAAACAATCCCTCCCCACCCCCAAAAAACTGCCCTCTCACTGAGAACCAATCATGTTATCTCTTGAGGTACAAAAATTCTCAATTTTAGAAATTGTACAACTGTGATTGTTGGTCTCCTTTACCCCTAAATTATGTGAGCTTCTCAAGGGCCGAGGCCATAGCAGGTGCTCAACTAGTGAACCAACCCCCAGGGGACCACACAACACCCTTGGACACCATGCTGCCTAAATCTGTTGCTCCCATCCCCAGCCTGCCTGAATTAGGTTGTCAGTGTGTTAGTATCCACCCACCAGGGACTATTCCCCACAGGAGTGGCTCCCTTTTGGGTCAAGGTCAAGGAACATGGGTGCAATGTCGTATTTGAAAGTGGGAGCTCTCTGGCTTGAAGGGGGTTTTAACTGGCCAAATCTTGGACAATTTGAGCATCAAAAGAAATTACAATAATGATGGATGATAACCTATTGAATAAAAGAAGAAACCATGAGTTCATACTAATAAAAATGAATGAATAGCCCTGGCCGGTTTGGCTCAGCGGTTAGAGCGTCGGCCTGCAGACCAGAGAGTTGAGGGTTCGGTTCCCGCTAAGGGCACGTACCTCGGTTGCAGTTTGTCCCCGCCCTGGTTGGGGTCATGTGGGTGGCAACCAGTCAATATTTCTCTCTGTGCCTTCCTTCCTCTCTCCCTCCCACTCTATCTGAAGATGAATGCAAAAAAAAAAAAATGTCCTTGGATGAGGATAAAAAAAAAAAAAAATGGAATGAATAAGGACAAGGGAAATCTCCTCCTTCCAGTAGAAGGAATGATGGCGTTAGAAAATGACCATTAGGCAACCACCGTAGTAATAATGGATTCTAATGAGAATCATCAATGGATAGGAGAATTCTGATGAGAAACATGATATTTACATAGTTTCAAAGTATTGCCCCGCAGGCAATTATTAATTACAAATGGAAAGATAGTAACTCTGTAGTGGAAAAACCTAGGATACCATCTTTAACTAAGTAAGCAAAGTTAATATCAACAGTAATGGGACGGATGGACACATCTTTGTCCTAAGTGATGCCCTGAGAAGGACACAGCATCACTTCTGTTGGCATTCCTGCCAAAATTCATACAATGAATCTAATTGGGAAGAAATATCTGACAAACTTAAGTTGAGAGATGTTCTACAGAATTACTGGACCATATGCTTAAAAAAATAGCAACATCATGAAAGACAAAGACAGACTGGGGAACTGTTCCAGATGAAAGGAGTTAAGGAGACATGATGATTAACAGCAATGTGTGAGCCAGGATTTCCTTTTGCTATAAGGACATTATTGAGATAACGGATAAAATCCAAATAAGGTCTGTAGATTAGATAATAGCATCATATCAATGTTAATTTCCTGACTTTTATCCTTGTCCTGTGGCCATGTTAAGACAACGTCCTTTGTTTTAGGCAATACACCAGAGTATTTCTAAATAAGGGGGTATCATGTCTTCAATTCACTCTCATTCACATGGTTTAGAACAAAGATAGATAGATAGTTAGATAATTACAAAAATGTGATAAAATATTAAAAATTGGGGAATCTGGGAGAAGAACATATAAATTCTCTATTATTCCTGAAATTTTTGTTTTAATAAAATCACTGCCCCCCCCCCCCCAAGTAGGGGCTCTCAAGTTAGCCTGTGGACTCAAATCCTGGCCTTACCTCTCACCAGCTGAGTGTCTTAATTTCTCTCTGCCTCAGTCTTCTCCTTTGTAAACTTGGCTTACTAACAGTGCCTATTTCAAGGATTGTGAAACAATTTAATGTGTTCACATGTATAAGCATTTGGCACAGTGCCTAGTATGGAATAAATGATCAATAAATATTGGGTTAGAGAGAGATGAGTCCTCTGGAGTCCCCTAGGACACATTCTCTAAGAAATCTGCTTCTTCTCTGGTGAGTGACACAAAGACAGTGATGACTTCACCCTGCAGACAGCCCCCACCTCCTGCCACAGGGAGGGACCTAGTTGCCAGTTTCTTGGGAGGAGGTGCCTTCTGCCAGCACAGTCCAACAAAACTCTAACTATGTAAGCTGGAGTCTATCTAAAAAAATAAATAAATAAAATAAAAGAACTCTAACTGGCCCAGCTGGTCCCTCCCTGTTTACCTGCCCCAGAGTCCAAAACACTAAAGAACACCCAACCACCTCCCTGTGGAACCTTGGCCCACAGTAGGTGCTTTGACCACTAGTAGTGCTCAATAACAGTGACAGGCTTGACACAAGCCAGGATCAGCAGCTCAGATTTTAACAGTGGGGAACTGTAATCCACCCCACCAGTCCTTTGACATTGTTTCTGTAAATGCTGACTCTGACTAATATGTAGCTTGTAGATAAACAGCATGTTTGTATAAGGATCCTAGGAACTAACTTCAGAAGATACAGACTCCAACCTTCAGTCATCCCAGTTCTGTGAGATTTGCTGACCTTCAACTGTAGAACAGGATGACATAGGCCCAGGATGACGAA